ATTGTGTATGGAGTCAGCCTCCACCACATCACTGCCTAATGCATTTCATCTGTTAACTACTCTGACACTAAAAAACTTCTTTCTAACGTCCCTGTGGCTCATGTGGGTTCTCAGTTTCCACCTGTGTCTCCTTGTTCGCGTACCATCAGTGTTGAATAGTTATTCCTTGTCTACCCTGCCAATTCCCCTGACAATTTTGTAGGTAGTGATCATGTCTCCCTTTACTCGTCTGTCTTCCAGCGTCGTGAGGTGCATTTCCCGCAGCCTTTTCTCGTAATTCATGCCTCTAAATTCTGGGACTAGTCCAGTGGCATACCTCTCAACTTTTTCAAGCTTGGTATTGTGCTTGACAAGGTACGGGCTCCATGCTGGGGCCGCATACTCCAGGATTGGTCTTACATATGTGGTATACAAAGTTCTGAATGATTCTTTACACAAGTTTCTGAATGCCGTTCTTATGTTGGCCAGCCTGGCATATGCTGCTGATGTTATCCTCTTGATATGGGCTGCAGGGGACAGGTCTGGCGTGATGTCCACCCCCAAGTCTTTTTCTCTCTCTGACTCTTGAAGAATTTCATCTCCCAGATGATACCTTGTATCTGGCCTCCTGCTCCCTTCGCCTATCTTCATTACATTACATTTTCTTGGATTAAACTCTTAACAACCATTTGTTCGACCATTCCTTCAGCTTGTCTAGGTCTTTTTGAAGCCTCAAGCAGTCCTCCTCTGTCTTAGTCCTTCTCATAATTTTGGCCTCGTCAGCAAACATTGAAAGAAATGAATCTATACCCTCCGGGTATAGATTTTACATATATCAGAAAATATCATATCATATTTACATTTACATATATCAGAAACAAGATAGGACCGAGAACAGAGCCCTGTGGGACTCCACTGGTGACTTCACGCCAATCTGAGGTCTCACCCCTCACCGTAACTCTCTGCTTCCTATCGCTTAGGTACTCCCTTATCCACTGGAGCACCTTACCAGCTACACCTACCTGTCTCTCTAGCTTATGTACCAGCCTCTTATGCGGTACTGTGTCAAAGGCTTTCCGACAATCCAAGAAAATGCAGTCCGCCCAGCCCTCTCTTTCTTGCTTAATCTTTGTCACCTGGCCGTAGAATTCTATTAAGCCTGTAAGGCAAGATTTACCCTCCCTGAATCCATGTTGGCGATTTGTCACGAAGTCCCTTCTCTCCAGATGTGTTACCAGGTTTTTTCTCACGATCTTCTCCATCACCGTGCATGGTATACAAGTCAAGGACACTGGCCTGTAGTTCAGTGCCTCTTACCTGTCTTGTGTGTGTATGTGTGTGTGTGTGTGTGTGTGTGTGTGTGTGTGTGTGTGTGTGTGTGTGTGTGTGTGTGTGTGTGTGTGTGAGAGAGAGAGAGAAGGAGAGAAAGGGAGAGTGAGAGAGAGAGAGAGAGAGAGAGAGAGAGAGAGAGAGAGAGAGAGAGAGAGAGAGAGAGAGAGAGAGAGAGAGAGAGAGAGAGAGAGAGAGAGAGAGAGAGAGAGAGAGAGAGAGAGAGAGAGAGAGAGAGAGAGAGAGAGAGAGAGAGAGAGAGAGAGAGAGAGAGAGAGAGAGAGAGGAGAGAGAGACAGAGAGAGAGAGAGAGAGAGAGAGAGAGAGAGAGAGAGAGAGAGAGAGTACCACGCCCCAACACAAGTCTCAGTGTTACCACTCCCACTTTTCCGCAACATAACCCCGTGTGATTAATCATTGTACCATTGTCTCTAGACTGATTGCCTCGTTTGAAGAGCCGTAATGAACGCCGACCTATACGACAACAGATAAGAATGATCAAGCGTGTATTCCTTGATGTGTCAGCTTGAAAAATACTTTTCTTGTCGCACATTTCCGCACAAAACACCACAGAATATGCATTCAAAAGTTACCTTCAGCTCACGATAACGAGTCACACCAAGAGCCAATAAGAGCAGATACTCTACCTTACAACCACAACGAATACAATACCCCCACACTGTATTTAAATACATTTATTACCTAAGCAGCTCGGCTCACCAGATACAATAGACTGCAAGGCAATAAGGAACCAGAAAACTAATTAAGAACTCTGAACCAGATAGCCATAAAAAAGGGACTTAACGAATGTCTAACTCCGCTGGGCTAAGAGGGATTGTCTAAAACAATTTTAATTACTTTTCCGACAACTTTAAAATCCTCTCAAGGTATTTTGTCTTAGATAATCAGGAAGGAGAGATATTTTTAAAAGTGTTTTTGGTAATCAGTGTGAAGGAGCTACGGTCAGGGGGCTACTCTCTCCTCTACTGTGAGGGAGAGGAGAGAGAGAGAGTTAACGAAGCAGAGGAGAGTGAAAAGGTCGACGGGAGAGGGGGAAATATAGAGGAAAGAGGAGAAATGATATAAACGATGAGAGAAAGAGTAGAAAAGGTAAAGAGACAGCAGAAAAGGGAGAGAGAAGAGAAGGAAAGGAAAAAAATGTAGAGAAAAGTTGAAAGAGAGCAGAAAAGGTAGAAAGAAAAGAGAGAAAAGGTAGAAAAGAGAAAAGGAGAAAAGATAGAGAGCAGAAGAAAAGGCTGTACCTGGTATTATCTCTGTATCAGGGACAAGGTGCTGGGATATGAGGACAAGGTGCTGGGATATGTGGACAAGGTGCTGGGATATGAGGACAAGGTGCTGGGATATGAGGACAATTAAGGTGCTGGGATATGAGGACAAGGTTCTGGGATATGAGGACAAGGTGCTGGGATATGTGGACAAGGTGCTGGGATATGACGACAAGGTGCTGGGATATGAGGACAAGGTGCTGGGATATGACAAGGTGCTGGGATATGACGACAAGGTGCTGGGATATGAAGACAAGGTGCTGGGATATGAGGACAAGGTGCTGGGATATGAGGACAATTAAGGTGCTGGGATATGAGGACAAGGTTCTGGGATATGAGGACAAGGTGCTGGGATATGTGGACAAGGTGCTGGGATATGACGACAAGGTGCTGGGATATGACGACAAGGTGCTGGGATATGACGACAAGGTGCTGGGATATGACGACAAGGTGCTGGGATATGAGAATAATTAAGGTGTTGGGATATGAGGACAAGGTTCTGGGATATGAGGACAAGGTGCTGGGATATGTGGACAAGGTGCTGGGATATGACGACAAGGTGCTGGGATATGACGACAAGGTGCTGGGATATGAGGACAAGGTGCTGGGATATGACGACAAGGTGCTGGGATATGAGGACAAGGTGCTGGGATATGAGGACAAGGTGCTGGGATATGAAGACAAGGTGCTGGGATATGAGGACAAGGTGCTGGGTTATGAGGACAAGCTGCTGGGATACGAGGACAAGTTGCTGGGATACGAGGACAAGGTGCTGGGATATGAGGACAAGGTGCTGGTATATGAGGACAAGCTGGTGGGATATGAGGACAAGCAGCTGGGATATGAGGATAAGGTGCTGGGATATGAGGACAAGCTGCTGGGATATGAGGACAAGCTCCTGGGATATGAGGACAAGGTGCTGGGATATGAGGACAAGCTGCTAGGGATATGAGGACAAGGTGCTGGGATATGAGGACAAGGTGCTGGGATATGAGGACAAGGTGCTGGGATATGAGGATAAGGTGCTGGGATATGAGGACAAGGTGCTGGGATATGAGGACAAGGTGCTGGGATATGAGGACAAGCAGTTGGGATATGAGGACAAGGTGCTGGGATATGAGGATAAGGTGCTGGAATATGAGGCCAAGGTGCTGGGATATGAGGACAAGGTGCTGGGATATGAGGACAAGGTCTTGGGATACGAGGTCAAGCTGCTGGGATATGAGGATAAGCTGCTGGGATATGAGGACAAGCTGCTGGGATATGAGGACAAACTGCTGGGATATGAGGACAAGCTCCTGGGATATGAGGACAAGCAGCTGGGATATGAGGACAAGGTGCTGGGATATGAGGACAAGGTGCTGGGATATGAGGACAAGCAGCTGGGATATGAGGACAAGGTGCTGGGATATGAGGACAAGCTACTGCTCGACTCCAAAAAAAATCTAAATAATAATCATAATAATAAATTATAAAGTATAACTGGTAAACAAATGAACAAATCCACAAGGGCTGTGACGAGGATTCGAACCTGCGTCCGGGAGCATCCCAGACTGTTATTGTAACTGGTAACTCTCCAGTATTTTTTAAATATATCTTAGAAAGTAGATAGATGATAAGTTAATCTTTTATTACGAAAAACATGAAGTGGCAAGATTGAATAGTTTATTGTAAAGCTGGGAATTGCCAATCTGGTGTTGGGTGTTCGTGTTTTAGTCGCCTTCGTTCTGCCAGTGTACCACTTGGGTTGTGGGTCTGTATGTTTAGTGGTGGTTGTATGATCTGTCTTCCGTCGTGGCTGTATGTTCATGTGTACCATTGACCCAATAATTGCTATATGTGCTATCATTTCAGGAGAACAAGTGTGATGGTGGGGACACAGGCACGATACCCAACCACTGCTACGTTACTGTAATGTGGATAACAAAGTATTGTAGTTATCTGGCACGATACCCAACCACTGCTACGTTACTGTAATGTGGATAACAACGTATTGTAGTTATCTCTTTCAGGAACTTGGAGAAATAGTTAATAATATTACTTTATCTTATATTTAAATATATAAATTTGGACTTTTGTCTCACAGATGTTAAGTTACGCTGTCTCACGACAATATTTTCTTAGTGAGAGGTTAAGGGGTAATATTGAAGATACTAATTGAAAAGTGTCAATGACCTCCACACCTCAAGAGTAGTTATAACGAACTTCCACGTTAACGACTAGCCTTAACGATGCATGGGAACCCTATCAAAGTTACAGAGGCAGAAGCACATGTGACTGGCGACCATTTGTGAGGTACGGAGCAAGGTTACTTGGTTAATGTGGCACCATTTTGGAGGGTACAAGTGTACCGTGGTGCCTGGTGCCACAGCTCTCGCTCGCTCTCTGCCGCAGTTGTCAGTAAATCTGTGCCACACGCGCCTGTCTGACACTTGACTGACAGAATTCTTGAAGATTTTGCGAGTAAAGTTTTGAAGAAGCAGGGAGAGGCAATGGTACATGTGATAGTGTGATGTGTTTACTGTGTTTATGACACGTGTTATGTGCACTTGTGCCTGCCCTGTGTGTCCACCCTGTGTGCCCGCCCTGTGTGTCCGTCCTGTGTGTCCGTCCTGTGTGTCCACCTTGTGTGTCTGTCCTGTGTGTCCGTCCTGTGTGTCCGTCCTGTGTGTCCACCCTGTGTGTCCACCCTGTGTGCCCGCCCTGTGTGTCCGTCCTGTGTGTCCGTCCTGTGTGTCCACCTTGTGTGTCTGTCCTGTGTGTCCGTCCTGTGTGTCCGTCCTGTGTGTCCACCCTGTGTGTCCACCCTGTGTGCCCGCCCTGTGTGTCCGTCCTGTGTGTCCGTCCTGTGTGTCCACCCTGTGTGTCCGTCCTGTGTATCCACCCTGTGTGTCCACCCTGTGTGTCCGTCCTGTGTGTCCGTCCTGTGTGTCCGTCCTGTGTGTCCACCCTGTGTGTCCGTCCTGTGTGTCCGTCCTGTGTATCCACCCTGTGTGTCCACCCTGTGTGTCCGCCCTGTGTGTCCGTCCTGTGTGTCCGTCCTGTGTGTCCACCCTGTGTGTCCGTCCTGTGTATCCACCCTGTGTGTCCGTCCTGTGTGTCCGTCCTGTGTGTCCACCCTGTGTGTCCACCCTGTGAGTCCGACCAGTGTCCACCCTGTGTGTCCACCCTGTGTGTCCGCCCTGTGTGTCCACCCTGTGTGTCCACCTTGTGTGTCCGTCCTGTGTGTCCGTCCTGTGTATCCACCCTGTGTGTCCACCCTGTGTGTCCGCCCTGTGTGTCCGCCCTGTGTGTCCACCTTGTGTGTCCGTCCTGTGTGTCCGTCCTGTGTGTCCGTCCTGTGTGTCCACCCTGTGTGTCCGCCCTGTGTGTCCACCTTGTGTGTCCACCCTGTGTGTCCACCCTGTGTGTCCGCCCTGTGTCCACCCTGAGTGTCCACCCTGTGAGTGTCCACCCTGAGTGTCCACCCTGTGTGTGCACCCTGTGTGTCCACCCTGTGTGTCCACCCTGTGTGTGTCCACCCTGAGTGTCCACCCTGTGTGTGTCCACCCTGAGTGTCCACCCTGTGTGTGCACCCTGTGTGTCCACCCTGTGTGTCCGCCCTGTGTGTCCATCCTGTGTGTCCGTCCTGTGTGTCCGCCCTGTGTGTCCGCCCTGTGTGTCCACCCTGTGTGTCCGCCCTGTGTGTCCACCCTGTATGTCCGTCCTGTGTGTCTGCCCTGTGTGTCCACCCAGTGTGTCCGCCCTGTGTGTCCACCCAGTGTGTCCGTCCTGAGTGTCCACCCTGTGTGTCCGTCCTGTGTGTCCGCCCTGTGTGTCCGTCCTGTGTGTCCGTCCTGTGTGTCCGCCCTGTGTGTCCACTCTGTGTGTCCGCCCTGTGTGTCCGTCCTGTGTGTCCGTCCTGTGTGTCCGTCTTGTGTCCACCCTGTGTGTCTATCCTGTGTGTTCGTCCTGTATGTCCACCCTGTGCGTCCATCCTGTGTGTCCATCCTGTGTGTCTACGCTGTGAGTCCGTCCTGTGTGTCCGCCCTGTGTGTCTACCCTGTGTGTCCGTCTTGTGTGTGCACCCTGTGTGTCCACCCTGTGTCCACCCTGTGTGTCCACCCTGCGTGTCCACCCTGTGTGCCCACCATGTGTGTCCACCCTGTGTGCCCACCATGTGTGTCCACCCTGTGTGTCCGCCCTGTGTATCCACCCTGTGTGTCCACCCTGTGTGCCCACCCTGTGTGTCCACCCTGTGTGACCACCCTGTGTGTCCACCCTGAGTGTCCACCCTGTGTGCCCACCCTGTGTGCCCACCATGTGTGTCCACCCTGTGTGTCCGCCCTGTGTGTCCACCCTGTGTGTCCACCCTGTGTGTCCACCCTGTGTGTCCGCCCTGTGTGTTCACCCTGTGTGTCCGTCCTGTGTGTCCGTCCTGCTGTGTCCACCCTGTGTTTCCACTCTGTGTGTGTCCGCCCTGTGTGTCCACCCTGTGTGTCCACCCTGTGTGTGTGCGCCCTGTGTGTCCACCATGTGTGTGTCCACCCTGTGTGTCCACCCTGTGTGTATCCACCCTGTGTGTCCACCCTGTGTGTGTGCGCCCTGTGTGTCCGTCCTGTGTGTCCGCCCTGTGTGTCCACCCTGTGTGTCCACCCTGTGTGTGTCCACCCTGTGTGTGTCCGCCCTGTGTGTCCACCCTGTGTGTGTGCGCCCTGTGTGTCCACCCTGTGTGTCCACCCTGTGTGTCCAACCTGTGTGTCCACCCTGTGTGTCCACCCGGTGTGTCCGCCCTGTGTGTCCACCCTGTGTGTTCACCATGTGTGTCCGTCCTGTGTGTCCACCCTGTGTGTCCGCCCTGTGTGCCCACCCTATGTGTCCACCCTGTGTGTCCGTCCTGTGTGTCCACACTGTGTGTGTGCGCCCTGTGTGTCCACCCTGTGTGTCCGCCCTGTGTGTCCACCCTGTGTGTCCGCCCTGTGTGTCCACCCTGTGTGTCGACCCTATGTGTCCGTCCTGTGTGTCCACCCTGTGTGTCCGCCCTGTGTGTAGACCCTGTGTGTCCACCCTGTGTGTCCGTCCTGTGTGTCCACCCTGTGTGTCCGCCCTGTGTGTTCACCCTGTGTGTCCGTCCTGCTGTGTCCACCCTGTGTTTCCACCCTGTGTGTATCCACCCAGTGTGTCCACCCTGTGTGTCCACCCTGTGTGTGTGCGCCCTGTGTTTCCGTCCTGTGTGTCCGCCCTGTGTGTCCACCCTGTGTGTCCACCCTGTGTGTGTCCACCCTGTGTGTGTCCGCCCTGTGTGTCCACCCTGTGTGTGTGCGCCCTGTGTGTCCACCCTGTGTGTCCACCCTGTGTGTCCAACCTGTGTGTCCACCCTGTGTGTCCACCCTGTGTGTCCACCCTGTGTGTCCGCCCTGTGTGTCCACCCTGTGAGTCCACCATGTGTGTCCGTCCTGTGTGTCCACCCTGTGAGTCCGCCATGTGTGCCCACCCTATGTGTCCACCCTGTGTGTCCGTCCTGTGTGTCCACCCTGTGTGTGTGCGCCCTGTCTGTCCACCCTATGTGTCCGCCCTGTGTGTCGACCCTGTGTGTCGACCCTGTGTGTCCGTCCTGTGTGTCCTCCCTGTGTGTCCGCCCTGTGTGTCCACCCTGTGTGTCCACCCTGTGTGTCCGTCCTGTGTGTCCACCCTGTGTGTCCGCCCTGTGTGCCCACCCAGTGTGTCCACCCTGTGTGTCCACCCTGTGTGTCCACCCTGTGTGTCCACCCTGTGTGTCCGTCCTGTGTGTCCGCCCTGTGTGTCCACCCTGTGTGTCGACCCTGTGTGTGCGTCCTGTGTGTCCACCCTGTGTGTCCGCCCTGTGTGTCCACCCTGTGTGTCCACCCTGTGTGTCCGTCCTGTGTGTCCGTCCTGTGTGTCCACCCTGTGTGTCCGCCCTGTGTGTCCGCCCTGTACGTCCGTCCTGTGTGTCCACCCAGTGTGTCCGCCCTGTGTGTCCACCCAGTGTGTCCGTCCTCTGTGTCCACCCTGTGTGTCCGTCCTGTGTCCGCCCTGTGTGTCCGTCCTGTGTGTCCGTCCTGTGTGTCCGCCCTGTGTGTTCACCCTGTGTGTCCGCCCTGTGTGTCCGTCCTGTGTGTCCGTCTTGTGTGTCCACCCTGTGTATCTAAACTGTGTGTTCGTCCAGTATGTCCACCCTGTGCGTCCATCCTGTGTGTCCATCCTGTGTGTCTACGCTGTGAGTCCGTCCTGTGTGTCCGCCCTGTGTGTCTACCCTGTGTGTCCGTCTTGTGTGTCCACCCTGTGTGTCCACCCTGTGTGTCCACCCTGCGTGTCCACCCTGTGTGCCCACCATGTGTGTCCACCCTGTGTGCCCACAGCTGTGTGCCCACCATGTGTGTCCACCCTGTGTGCCCACCATGTGTGTCCACCCTGTGTGTCCGCCCTGTGTGTCCACCCTGTGTGTCCACCCTGTGTGCCCACCCTGTGTGCCCACCCTGTGTGTCCACCCTGTGTGACCACCCTGTGTGACCACCCTGTGTGTCCACCCAGTGTGTCCGTCCTCTGTGTCCACCCTGTGTGTCCGTCCTGTCTCCGCCCTGTGTGTCCGTCCTGTGTGTCCGTCCTGTGTGTCCGCCCTGTGTGTTCACCCTGTGTGTCCGCCCTGTGTGTCCGTCCTGTGTGTCCGTCCTGTGTGTCCGTCTTGTGTGTCCACCCTGTGTGTCTATCCTGTGTGTTCGTCCTGTATGTCCACCCTGTGCGTCCATCCTGTGTGTCCATCCTGTGTGTCTACGCTGTGAGTCCGTCCTGTGTGTCCGCCCTGTGTGTCTACCCTGTGTGTCCGTCTTGTGTGTCCACCCTGTGTGTCCACCCTGTGTGTCCACCCTGCGTGTCCACCCTGTGTGCCCACCATGTGTGTCCACCCTGTGTGCCCACCATGTGTGTCCACCCTGTGTGCCTACCATGTGTGTCCACCCTGTGTGTCCGCCCTGTGTGTCCACCCTGTGTGTCCACCCTGTGTGCCCACCCTGTGTGCCCACCCTGTGTGTCCACCCTGTGTGACCACCCTGTGTGTCCACCCTGAGTGTCCACCCTGTGTGCCCACCCTGTGTGCCCACCATGTGTGTCCACCCTGTGTGTCCGCCCTGTGTGTCCACCCTGTGTGTCCACCCTGTGTGTCCGCCCTGTGTCTTCACCCTGTGTGTCCGTCCTGTGTGTCCGTCCTGCTGTGTCCACCCTGTGTTTCCACCCTGTGTGTGTCCGCCCTGTGTGTCCACCATGTGTGTGTCCACCCTGTGTGTCCACCCTGTGTGTATCCACCCTGTGTGTCCACCCTGTGTGTGTGTGCGCCCTGTGTGTCCACCCTGTGTGTGTCCGCCCTGTGTGTCCACCCTGTGTGTGTGCGCCCTGTGTGTCCACCCTGCGTGTCGACCCTGTGTGTCCAACCTGTGTGTCCACCCTGTGTGTCCACCCGGTGTGTCCGCCCTGTGTGTCCACCCTGTGTGTCCACCATGTG